TACCCAGGTGTGCAGTGGAAGTAATTCGTCTAAGATTTCGGAATATCTTCGCGAGTAATGCTATCGTACTCTTGACTCGAGTGGTCAGGTAACTCTTCATTCTTTCCAGTTTTTATGCAGTTCCGTTAGTAGGACCGTGCAAGCGCGATGGAAGACGTGATTTGCGTAACATCCTCTTAACTTTTAACAAGACGTCGCGCGGCCGCATTCCCCTGGCCGTGACAGCAACGGTCTAGTTACATTGAAGTGACTTACAGTAGCTGGGCTAACTCATGAAATGTTAACCGAAATTCCGAAATGCATTTTCGTTTCGAAACTATTAGTTAAATAGTGTTATAAAACGAATCATCATGCAGCATGATTCTATAATACTTCAGTTATCTCAGGATGCCGGCTTTTGAATGAACTTCTTTCCGACTGCATGCAAAAACTATTCTCTGGAAAAAAATGACTGCTTATGTAGCATACATTTTTCGTATTGATTTTCAATGCCCCCAAAAATTCGACTATATTTCATAGAAAACATGCGTAAAAATATTCCTTCTTTTGCTCGTTCGGTAGGGAAGTACGTATTCTTCCAATTTTATGCTCGAAGTAAGGGTATAATTCGGTTTTCAAACACTTTTCCGATTCCCCAATAATTTTGAACCCGACTTGCCGTTGCACTTGCACTCAGGGTTCCCAAGCTACAAACCGCATATTTTCCGCGTACGGAAAACCATACATTTCTCTACAGTATTAAGAGAAGACCATATGGGGTTCATAAAATTTAGTGGTGAATTTGAGCCATATTGTTAACTTTACAAGCCACATTGGTAAATGCAGATACATGGCGTTTTATGAACGGTCATTTCACGGTATTAAAAAATCCCACAAATAGAAACTTTTTTAAAACCGAATTGTAGCCTTCCTTCGAGCATAAAATTGGTAGAAGGCGTAATTTTCTACCGAATGAGCCAAGGGGGCTAACTGGATGTCATATGGAACCATTGGGGAGTGCACAACCTTTATGTAGAGCAACATTCAGATCGTCAGTTAACGGTTAGACAATTGGAGAAATCGAGCTTGACAAACGTAGGTTTCTGATTACTTACCCTCAGTCATAGTAGCGAGGTTTACAGCAGCCAGTGAACACTAGCCATGATGAAGAGGGTTGGAGGCGCTCAGGCATTTTGGTCTAGTCAGAGGCTTGGGGAGGGTGGAGATAGGAGGAGTCTCACAGTGAACAATGCTCAAGTTTCGCCGTCGTAACGCGAAGTGTTGGGATGCCGAGACGAACATGCCTGGCTTATACTGACCCAGGGTAGTTTGAGGGCTTGTATGAACGCCCTCTGCGAACACAAGGCCGCAATGGCTAACCACATGGTCACTGACTCTGCCGTCGCAAGTAGACGCTGATGCAGGAACTTGGAGTGTCTCGCCGGCACTTTACAGATGACTTGGAATGCATGGTTGACATCCACCTGGTGGCCGCTGTCAACAAGTAAACTACAGCTGCGCTAGAGGTGGACTTTTCTAAACCGTGATTTAGCCAAGTAGGATGGTGCTCTCGCATCCGCTTGGATAGGCGCCTAGTGGTTTGACCAATATAACTTGCTTCACAGGAGCAAGTGAGGACGTAGATGAAGATTGAAAAAGTCTGAAAGGGCAGCTTATCCTTGTCTTCAGGTCGCAGAAGCAGACCGCTTGCGTCTTAATTGGGCGTCTGGGTTCATGCGTGCGATAACAGAGTTTAAGCAACAATTCGTGAGTATATTTCTGAGGTTCTGTGGAATCCTTTTCTGCCCCAAGCGTGTCAAGATAAGCATGTCAGACTTCCAGTGGGAAATCATGATGCCTCTGCCACCTCATATCTTCTGGAATCAGGTTTGTTTGAGATCACGCTGTACAAGTCAGTCGCCTAAAATATCTCGTGCATTATTCGAACTTATTTCTTTCAGGGAATACACTGTTCCTTGTGACTACCCTTTTATTTTATACTGAATCAGGCAGTTTTCATGGGGTTAGGTCGTTATTTTTTCACCTGACAGGTAGTCTTCATCTTACACACTACTGGCAATTGGGTGTTATGTGGTGTTTTTTTGAGCGTCCGGCCTTGATCTCTCTCCCTCTCTGGTTACTGCTCGCCGTTTTTGCCAGAAAGAAGGCTTTAATTCCGAAGAGTGAGAGAGAGAGAGAGAGAGGCGAAGAGAGGGGGAGTTAGATAATGAACTACGCCTGAGTTTCGTCGCTGTTGCGCGACTTGATGGGATGTGGAAACGAACGTGCGGTTTGTAGCTTCACCATGCGTCGAGTCGGAAACATGCTTCAGTCCGGCAGCGTGATTGATTGGGGATATGTTATGGGAGCAGTTTTAACAACTTAAGTCTGCCTGCTGACGTTTTTTCGGATTTTTAGGACACTTTCTTACACAGTTTTACAAGCCAGAGTGTTTGAAGATGAAAAATATTTGTTTTTTTCTGAAGATAACGGTTTATCCACATCTTGTCTCGTCTGATGTACACAATCTGAAACATCAATTTCTAGGTTGGTGACAACCAATCTAGTGTAAGACAGTTATTGTAATTGGAAAACGCCTTTATTTTAAGGTATCGTTTGTTTACTGAAAAAAATGATAAACTTTTTCATGTATAGAATATCTCAGAAACATTCCACATGTGAAAGAGACCGTTTTCGGAGTGTATTGTGCTGATAAGTAAAACGCCCTATACTGTAGCACGCTTAGTCGGAAGGGAATACCAAACAGTTCGTCAATTTCGGCAATGTCCACCGTGTGCTCCACAGCAGGGTGAGAGCAGGGACGGTGACTTGCGCAGCATCTACCGCACTCTCTTCTTTCCCACCGCGGCCCAGTGTCATGGCGAAGCCAAGAAGACCGGAGGTGGGAGAGGCAGCACCTAGCTGGTACGGCGTAAATCTGCACCTGGACGTACCACCACCCCCTCTTGTCCACTTAAGCAGGATTTCCAACAGGCATGAAATGCGGGACGGCAGAGAGCCCAATTTACGCGGCGTGAACCAGTAACTGTGTTTGTCACAGCACCCCGAATGTCAGCATTTGTTATGGGCGCGCATTCCCAATGACGCCTGTCGGACTCCAATGTAGCCTCTAGGTGCACATTTACTGTACATCGGTTTTAGACAGGTCTTGAATACGTCTGCTAGGCACCAAACAGGCATCAAATGTCCGTTGTTGGTTTATTTAAAATTGGTGAGACAGCGCGAAGAACGTGAGTGGGTGGGAGTGGTGGATGACGACTGTCAGTGTTTTGACGCCTAACAGTCTCGCTCCTCAATACAGTCCACCGGAGTGCCGTTCGTCCGGGTCCCTCTCCTGCATTTCACTGCAGAATCTTGGCTCCGGTTTGAGTTGTGGGTTGTGAGGTCCTTTCGGTTACTGACTGGCACCAGTCGATGAAACAGTTGGGCGGTTGAGCCCATCTGCACATGACAGTGGTCTCCAGTGTGATTTCTAGACTCCAGGAGGGATTCGGCTTCTTGTTCTCGGCAATCGAGCATGCTTCACTTACTTTCTGGAAGCGAACACAAGCGTGCGGGCCTACAGCACGTGGCGTATCTCATGGATAGTTTTCCTGCATTAACAAATTATAAATAATACAATCGGAAGCCAGGCCACATACATCGACTAAAGTCAGATTAATAATGGATAACATTCAACTAAGGAAATATTAGGAGTAATTGTAATACTCCAGCCAGCTGTCTTCTGAGAAGAGACCTTCCAAAGTCGGCAATCCTTGCACTGTTTCCAACGATCGTCCAGACTCAAAGGAGTCAGAGTCAACTTTCATCGTTCCGACATCCAATTCGTTGACACAATCAGATATGGTGTAGAATGATGGCTTTTGCTTAAAGTTTATTAATAAAGTTTGAACCGGAAGATAGCTAGAGTAGGAAAAATGGACAACTGGATAACGTCCACACGGTCGGGCGCTCGCAACTCTCAACTGGCGGTTCTGTCCAAGTTCTCCTCCGGCGCGCTCTGTCCGGCCCTTGCCCCACTTAAAATTCAAAATGAAACAAACAACGCAAAAACCCGGGTTATGGAAAATATGTACAAAACATTCAAACGAGTACATTTGTCCGGGGATCAGGACTTTACATGATATTACACGTCGCTTATAGACAACAATTTTCCTAAAGTGACAATGTCGAAAACTCGAATACTCATGTCCAATGAGTAGACCAGTTTTTTAGAAGTACATGAAGCCCTTTCATGCAAATAACTAAGTGAAACACATTAGTGCAAACATCCTCAAGGAATTAGTGTTATGCAAGGTATGTTACGTAGTCACATAGGCGCTTAACGTTTGATTATAGATTCCAAAACTGTTTCGTGAGAATTCGATGTAATTTTCCCGCTTCTCTATTACTCGTAATGCGGTTGATTAAATCGAGAAGGATTTTTTTAATTTCGCTACTAAGGAAGTTAAAAGAATGCATGTTTTCACTAGGTCACATGTCGGGAGTCCGGTCGGTGACCAAGAGATTGGGATGGAATTAGCAGACGCAATCGTAAGCAAGAGATCTTTTTTCAGTAACGTTGCTGTGTGGTATTTGGCGACGATGGACTACGCGGAGTTGCAGGTTGTCCTTGAAATGTCAGTGAATGCGCCGCGGTTTTCAGCGTTTTTAATCGACTGCCTGAAAAGATAGGTTATATACTGTGCGTTGGATTTTTCATGAAAGCATTTACCTAGAAAGTGCGTTCTTTGGCATTCCCTCTTTTATGGAGATGGCTATTTGGGTCGTATTTATAGACTCATCCAAACTCGCAACCGCGACAACGTCCTTAACGAAAGTCTGCAATGAATATGGTCCCGATCAATGGAGAAAAAAAATTATTTGCCTCTAAAAGGCACCATAGTAGGGTATTTTGCCGACGAAGTTCCACGTACTTGATAGCGCGCATTTGTTAGCTCGCCTGGGTGGTTTTGTTTCACAAAATATCATCTTGGTTTGATTTGCGTAACTCACTTTCCGTTCTCTATTGCTCTCATAGCGTTGTCTCGAGCACTACAAGGATGACTGTCAGGCGGTGATTTCTGGGCTTCTGGAGGGTACGGTTCCGCTTGAAGTCTCAAACCCCGAGGAGGCCAGGTAAGCCTGCCTTACATCCTCTCACGATTGACTCCCATTGATGGATGCCCGCAGACCAAAGCCAGCATTTTTAAGTTACTGACCTCCCCTCCTTCTGTGCAACGTCCGCCTCTGTCACGAACTGCCATCGGGGTTCCCCCCCCACACCAGTCGTACCCCACTTGCCCTGCCATTCTCCGACACCGAACAGTCAAGGTGTCTTCTCAAGATCTGACATAACCGCTCCCCGTTGACTCTTCAGTTAGTTCTCATGGCGGATTCGGAGATATGGCTTTGAGAATGAGTCATCATGTGTCACACCCCCGTAGCTTGAGGCTTCCCAACTTATTTCATCTGTATTTGCCAACAACAGTGCCGAATTAATGTCTTCCACTGAGTTCACGGCGTTGTGACCCGGTGGTGTTCTCGTGTTCAGCGGCCGTCGCCTCCTAGGGCCTCAGCAGTCGTCACAAGTCAGGGGTTCCGCTCCTAAAAGCCGAAGACCGTTGTGGTCACCACACTCTCCGGACAGTACATAGAAATTTCCACACCAACTCTGGCAGGGATTCGGAGAGGTGGCTGGCTGGCTGCTTCGATACGCCCCTTTTCGGTTCAAAAGAATGCGTTATCTAACCACCTTGGATGCCGGCCGTTAATTGTAACACTGCCAGGAAGTGGTCCCGATCGGCAGTGGAGTTTGACGCTCAGCAGCCAAACAACCCGATCTCCAAGTTTCCTGCGCGTGGAGGCCAAGCTTCGCAAATATATGTCCGAACTGCTGTAACAGTTGTTTCATACAGTCAATCTGTCACTGTCGTCTGCCAGGTCTGACTGCGAGACCGAGAGCGTCGATAGAGTAAGTTCCATGCGAGTGTTACGCTGCGGACTATCTTCTGACGCTATCGAGTCGGTGTCACAGGTGGACCGCGACGGACAAAATACTTAATTGCCCCTAGCCCTTTGTTAGCTGCGTAGAGGGGAACACAGCTTATAGTTATGTGGCTATCGAGCAGGTCTTTGTTTTTGTAAATGCCCACTCTTGGACCCCATTTGCAGCAACCGACGGCTTTGCGATCAAAAGCAGGCCGCTTTTCTCGGTGTACCAATGTCGTCAGTGTAGTTAATGCCAAGGGCACAAAACGTTCTTGCGCAATTCGGGAACCTGCATCGTCATGTTGACAGAACCGCACGGCTGAGAATGACGGGTCACAGCCTTGTCGGACCCCAGCCTTAACGGCGAAGTGCGCTTGAATTTAGATCCGAATGAGGTCCACCAACAACAGAGAGAACCTCGATTTGCCTTGTCGAACGTTTCAGCGAAAACTAGGGAGACGATTAGTTTGTCGAAAGTAATTTCTTTGTTGTATAATCCCTCGTTTGCTGCGCGGCTGGTCGGCACTTCGGCCAGGGCGAGAGTCGCACTGTTTTTTTAATCCTAATGGAGCGATAACGGTTTGACAGCTTTCTGAAGTTGAGGTTATCGATTGAATCTACTCCGAGCCAAACTGAGTGGGTGCGATTCTGTCCTTTGCAGTCATTAATTTGGATGTTGTCTGTCTTTCTCTTAACTCTACAGACAGCATCTGGAAGATCAGGAGAGGCGCAAAGGACAACAACAGCAACAGCAACAGCAGAGATCTCGTCAGGGTGACGAAACCGCGACAATGAATCTGGCTGCGGCCGCAGCTACCGGCGTGGTTACTCTCCAGCGCGGTCAGGTTTGGAAGGGCAAACGTCAGGATACCGGCGGGCCCGCGTTGCCGCCCCTCAGTGCGCAGGATCGCGAGCGCGTCAAGCAGATGGCAGTCAGTGTTTGGGACGATGATGACGAGGCGGGTTATTCTGCCTGGTGGCGCAGCGGTGAACCTGGTCGCGCCGGCGGCCCCAACCGATTTGAGGATGTAAACTTCGATCCCTACGATGGTGAGGCCACCTCCCAATGTATGACTGATGAATAATGTCAACTGGTGCATGGGAGAGAGAACTGGGGAATCAGCGTACTCCTCACTATTATAAGTCTGACGCGCTTGATATTATCACTACGCGCTAAGAGTCGTGGACTACAAGACTGCTAGTTGACATGATACCTCGACTCCGCTCATGACGGCGAGTCAGGCTGCAATAGCTTTTTCCTAATGTGGCTTTTATGATTCGCTCACCTATTTGAGATCCGAGACAGATTGTTTAGCTCCGTCAGCTACTGCGCTCACGCCCACCTGTCATCTTGACTTTGCTCTGCCACCGGACCAAAGTAAGTGAAGGATGAGAGAGTGCAGTAGATGCTTCGAAGGTCTACCACACGCAAGTCACCGCTGCCGGACCCATTGCGCGGGGCATCAGTGTACATTATCGTTTGCAACTGTCGAATGGTGTCTACTTCTTGTCGGTTGAAGGCGAGAAATGGTCGTCTTCTGTCTGAACAGCCACTGCCAAAACCGATCTTTTCCGCCTTCTCGGTCGGTGTGTATGTGTGTGTGTTGAGAGAGAGAGAGATTTGTACAAAGTGTCGCATGCTAGTTCACATTTCCCCGAGGGCGCATACGCTTCATTGTCGCCCCGCAAAGGACGGAATGGTATAATGCGACAGCAGCTTTCACATTCTTCCACCATCTGTTTGAATGACATCGAGTTTTTTTCTCTTTCAGACGAATACGATGACACCTACGATCTGGATGTCGGTGCTACAGAACACTTGACGATCGACACAGATGTGGCCCCGCCCCCAAAGTCGCGTACGGCGGACTTCACGGAGGCGGAGGGCGACGCAGAGCCGGAGGAGGAAGAGGAGGAGAGAGAAGAATCGGGGTCGAATTCTGAAGGCCAAGCTGAGCCCCCTCCACCGCCTCACAACAGCCAATCCGAATCTGCCTCCGGGAAGTCCAGGAGAGGGAATTATCAAAGGGGAAGAGGTGGCCGGGGAAGGCAAACAGAACTCGCTCGTCCTGTCAATGGTACTGCCCAACCACCGCAAGGTACGTGGTTCTTTGTCCTGCACCAACCCTTTTCATTAGGGTTTGCGAGGAGGGTCGAATTTCGTCTGGGCATGGACGGAAGTGTTTAATTTTGTTTGATCCTACAATTGTAATGCCTGTTTTTCCCCCCTACCTCGGCCAGATTTAAGTCATTTATTTCATTCCGAGGTAGATCCAAATAGTAGACGTGTATTCGAATGAACAGAGACGATTACGCCGGTCGAGCAGTGGGAGCGCATGTCAGCTTGTCGAATGAGGCAAGTAAGCACCTCGTTTCGGCGACTTCGTGGATTTAGACGACTGAGTACTTGTTCCATGAGGTCATTTCAAACATATATTCACTGCCAGTTCCGCCAATTCTATTCCAAAGTGATTTCGGTTATGCATCTAACGGAAACTGCTTCGTTATGGCATAGACTTTCATCTGCGTAGTGTATGGTTACAACTAGATTAAGTTAGCGTTGTCTCTACATTTCTGGTTGCGGTGCTGGTGGATGCGATGGTTGTGCTAACGGCGCTCAGTATCTTGACCGTGCCCATAGCGGTCGGAGGGAAGATATCCGACCAGGGTGAGCCGGAATTAGAACGCGGCGGTAATTTGGTGAATAGGTGCGTTGATTAACTTCATTGGTGATGAATGATGATGCAGATGATGATGACGACGATGGTGATGATGATGATGATGATGATGATAATAATAATAATAATAACGTTGTTGTTGTTGTTGTTGTTGACGATGATGATGATGATGATGATGGTGATGATGATGATGATGATGATGATGATGATGATGATGATGATGATGATGATGATGATGATGATGATGATGATGATGATGATGATGATGATGATGATGATGATGATGATGATGATGATGATGATGATGATGATGATGATGATGATGATGATGATGATGGGGACGACCATGTTACTGCTGGCTTTGATCATGCTGACGTTGCGGACCAGGGGGTGTGATGACACGCCTAGGTGCGCGTTGTCGCCGTGCCAGCCACCTGAACCCTCCCCGAGTTCCGGTCCTTGTGACTCTGTTTTGACATCGAATCCAGCTGGGGAGGAGGGAGTACGATAGGTGCATCGCAAGTCCACTACCACTGTAAACTAATTTACGCGTAAGTCACTGTTCCTGCTCTTGTCCTGCTGTGGAGCACATGGTGGGGATAGTCAAAAACGACTGCAGAACTGTCGTTGGTAGTGGTCGCTGTAGTGAATGTCAGCGGCCTAGTGCGGATCGCAACGCACCTAATGCCCTACTTATCTTAATTGCTGAAAATCCCTTTTTCGGTGTGTCGTCTAATTTTATTCTTCTTCTTCTTCTTCTTCTTCTTCTTCTTTAGATAAGTCTCGAACGCAACCACCCAAAGCAGTCGCTTCAGGTCGTGGTGGAGGGGACAGGGGACACCTTGAGCCTGCTTCAAACTTTGTCGGCTCGCAGAGATCGCCTTCGGCAAGGACTTGGACGCAACAGCAGCAGGGACCCCGCCAGTCTTACGGCGACCGTAATGACGTGCGACTTACCATGAAAAGTACAATCCACTCGCATGACAGCATTGGCGAAGAAGATAACGAGGTAGTTAGTCGTAAATGTGTGCGTGGCTTCGTTTCCTGAAGATGTATGTTTTGCATATTACTGGTACTGACGCATAGTCAGTAGACAGAGTTCGGAACTATTATTTTACCGGAATTCATGCTTAAATGAGGAACTTCACAGCCGCCAACTGGATTATAATAGAATGTTGCTGTATGATGATGAGGTTTGCAACTCTACTTACTTAATCTTTTCGATACGGGAAAACATTTCGAATTTTTGGCTGACATTTCATAAGTTAGCCGACCTACTGTATAACTGAATTTATAAGGGCATCGACAATCAGCGGGGAAATCGCGAAACGCTTAAGTAGTCCTTTTCTGCAGAGTGTAGTTTTTTCAGACGGCCGAAAAGAGGCTCATTTGAAAGCGGGCGTCCTGATGCGACCGAAATATCCTCGGATTGTGCTATGCGATAATTAACATTGAAGCCCTACTTATGTAGTCTCTTCGAATAAAAGACAGTTCAGGTTCTCAATTTAGATTTCACGAGATAGCCCCAAAATATTACTGAACAGGCAGAATTTCGAGAATACCTAAGAATTAGTAAACTTTGAGAGAAAGAAAATACACATATGCTTTAGGCGAAATTTTGAGACACGTTTTCAGCAAAATGGGCAGAAGAAGTGAGGCCTTTCTTATTCTTTCCAATAATTGTGGATCAAGATGGGTCTCGGAATTCAGCGGAAAGAGTACGCACCACATAAGTAACAATGCCACCACTAGTGCGATTTTCGGAAGTGGGTTGGGGGAGTAGGGAAGACGCTTGAGCGAAAGCCAACATTCTGTCGTCCATAATTTTCATGGGATCGCTATCCCATGCGAACCAGTTTTATAGACTCTTTAGACCGTTATGTTTACTTTAATGTCCACCAGTAGCATTCGGCCTCCATTACATAACGTTCGATTTATTTATCGGCGCTGCAACCGACGAAATTTAGATACGCTGCTCACTAGTAAAGTATGGCTTTACTGCAATTAAAATATTGGCTAGAAGTAGAATAATCCAAAAGTACAATAAAACGGGCATGCATCAAACTGACTGGCGTTACAGCGCGAATTGGCCCGGTCGTCCGGCAGAAGTGTTTAGGAAAAAATATGAACCAATTTCATCCAAACTGTCTCCACGAGCGGGCCAAGGAGTACTCGATCCGACTGGCGTGCCCAATCTGTCCGCCATGTTGAATGAGATTAAACTTTGGCGGTCCAGCCACGTTATGGGCAGAGCTGACGCTCGTCACTAAGGCGTCCAAAAGTCACGCTTGAAGTCATGGCCACTGGGGAACTTCTTGCGTAGGTTCGGCAGGAAGGTAGGACTGAGCTTCCGAAGATTAACCTCAATCGACACACCCGCTCCACCCCCTCACATACAAGGCTGGGACTTTCTTTTTCGTGCGCCCCTGAGCATGCCGTGGTGAAATCGTTCTCAACTCGTCCGTTGCATCCCACGACAACAACATCATCGGAAATCCCCTCCCAAGTGCGACAGCACTTTCCCGTCGCACATCAATTGGACTGTACGTCGGCACTTCCGTCGTCATACAAGCAGAAAACTGTTCCCGGAACGGTCGCCAAAAGTCCTCCTTCAGCACTGCGTTGGCCTACGCGAAGGTAGGTATGGGTATGACAGCTAAAACGTCACTCACAACTCCAGCCAATGTCCCTGTGCTGAATCAGGCCATCATGAATAACGACGGACGAACCATCGAGTTCCGCTTGTTAATTTCTGCCGTCCTTACCACTTTGTAAACTGATCTTTCTGCCTAGACGCGCAAGCACACATTTTTCGTCTCATAATTTTTAAATGGCAAAAAATGAATGAGTCAGGAAAAACGACAGATTATTTTTTTGAGAGTAGCAAAAAAGTTGCCTTCAGTCTGCCATTCCCTTTTTCAGGAAAAGCCGACCCAGAAAAATACTCTCCCTCTGGAAGATCCTGCCGTTATCCGCGCCAGGCGAGAGGCTGCAGCTGAGGCTAGGGTAAACATGCTCATCACTCTGAAGATTTTCTGTTTTTTAAATAATCAAAAGGAGTTATTTATATTCTCGCCACATTCGGAATTTTTTTCTAATAAGAGAGGCCGATTTTGGCAACTGGCCAAATCACCGCTACCGGAGTTTTGCCCACATCAGGTATCTTGTGTCGCGCATACTCCAAGATCTTCTCGAAGGTGTTCATACGCACTTTTGACGTCCGGCCCATGTAGACACGATTGAAATATTTTAGATTTATGCTTCACGATGACCAATGTTACAATCCCACCCAGGTAATCCTTCCTGCTTGAAAGCATATTTTAGAAATCCGGTCAACATTTCATGAAATAGGGCAGCTACTGTGGTTGTTCCTTGTCAAACGACCAACTTTGCGGCCCTAGATCGATGCCACTGTCGAAATGAAACGAAGGAGCCCATTTTGCTGTCAGATCAAATCGGCGAATGTCACTGCCACATGATGTAAACACTCCAGCTTGCATTTGGCCCGACGCGATCCCTTGACACAGTGATGGAGCGTAGAATTTAATCTTACCGGAAAAGTGACTTAGGCGGGGGGTATTCTTCGGTTGTAGAAGACTCGTATAAGCCTTCCGCCCTCCTTGATGCATGCCTGACTTAGGGTAGGAATCGTTTTACTGCAGTACAACCCCCTTTCAGCCACTATAGCCTCCTGTTCTGTTGACAGAGCCTGAATTACTCCTGTTCCTCTCCTTCTCTGGGCCAGGCTTCTCGCAGGGGCCGCATTGTGCGTACTCAACCGACAGATGTCCCGCCTCAGCCCCTACCCAGGGATGGAGACTTCTTCCCCACATCACCGGAGGCCCGAAAACCCTGGTATGCGGGTCCTTCTGGCCGGCCGGACCAACAGCCACGCGGCGGTGCTCGCGGGCGTCCGAGTGCAGCCCGTGGCGGCGACTTCTCTCGAGGCCGCGCTGCTGCACCTGATTCCGCCGGCCACCCTGAAGCCGAATCATCCTCCAGGCAGAAAAACCGCCAGCACACGGCAGCTGGACGATTGACGCCGCCACCGCCGGCACCTGCTTCCTCCCTCAAACGGCGCGGCGAAATTACCGCCTATCAGGCAAAACTGAAGGAGCGCTACGGGTCACACAACCAGCGTGTGCTAGCTGATCGCAAACGCCAGCTTTAGAGGTCCGAGCCCCTCCGCCGGCAACATCACTTCAGTCTTTCCACCTTTACTCACCAGTCCTTGAATTTGGATAGAGAGAAAAATTTGCAATCTGCTCACCGTTACTACTTGTTTATTTCTTTGTAGGGCCGTTTATTGGTTAACGGAGGTTGGATCGGTTAGATTGGTTTCGTCGGCGTTTATGTGTATTCCCCATAACACACAGCTCCTTGATTTGCGCCGTAGGAGCACCCTGGTGTTTCACCTTGGCGGCTGATTGGACGATTGCCAACCTGAGTCCGTTTTTACCGTTTCTATGACACAACCTCTACCACTCGATTCGCTCGAGTCTCTGGAATGGGCCCATCGCCTTCTTATCAGACAGGTATCCGGACGAAACTTTGTTGGAGCGGTGAGCAGGTGTGTGACACGCGTAGGATGGAGGGCAAATGCCTGGTCGAGCGATGCGTCCAAACTGGAGTTGGGGCATAATGGGTGCGCCAAAAGCAGGCGAAATCGACCTGTTACAATCCAACGTCCATAGTGGTCTTAATCGACAGTAGCGATCGAATTAGGAGACTGAGTTGGGGGTATTTTTCTCTGCCTATAGTTCCATCAACATGTGGTCCAACTTGGAGCAAACGATGTCCATGCTAAATATTCGCAAAAGTGTCGTTTGTTCAGTAACTACTGTCCGAAGTGACCTTAAGACTTTTCTTTACTGCTGGGATATTTCGTTCCTTGGTTGCTTGGAGACTTGTGATTTTCACGCGGTTGGCGGTAATGACGAGTACCTAAATCAGAGGTACAGTAGGTTGCACAATTCGCGAAATGTGCATAAATTAAGGAAATGCAACCAATCAGTCTGAAACCGGTCCGAACGCTCCACAGGGGCAGGTGAATGAATAAATACATATGAATGTGGACTGTAATGGCAGTCGGTCTTTGCCCCCCAACCGTAGTAGGGGGGAGTTTGCGAAGAATACGCGCAAGTTCGCCGCGGGGAAGGCACTCGTGAGAGCCGTCCTAAGACGTCTAATTCGCTTGCTGCGTCTCCTAGAAAAGGTAGTCTTAGAAATAACTTTTTCGGTCGTTTGACAAACTAATAGGTTACGCGTTTAAGAAGTGTCTTAATACCGTATTCTGCTGACGGGTGCCCGCGTACTTTACCTTTTACACGCTAAGACCAATAAAAAAAGTTTGGACTTTCGGCCGTTCTTTTCACTTTCCTGAAAAGTGCTGGTAAATTCTTCTGTCGCAAACGGGAGGCAGGTTTTTTCGATATATTTGCTTATTTGTGGTCTCCGTGTAACAATTATGAATGTGCAGAAGGGCAGGCATAGAAATACCGACATTTTGCTCAAACTGCTAGCGTTTTGCTTGTTCCGTTTCTAACTTATGCATAGATATAAACTTGACCGCAGAACATGTCTTTCCATTTATTCGAAATCCCATTATGTTCATTTTGGCGGTTTTTCATAATATTGTCACACATGTCAGGAGGATATCGGCACATTTAGACAAAGAATTACCTCTAGTCGTTATTGCAACACTTTTGGGCGTGTAGTCGAGAAAATTTGCAAATCTATTTATTTTAAGAAGCTAAAGCGTTTGGTTTTTCTAAAAACAACTTGTTTGTACGCATCCCGTTTCTCGCTGTTTTTTTTCCGGCAAAAAAAGCAATTTTCGCGTGCAATCAGTCTTGTTTGGCGAAACTCTTGAAGTTAGACTACTCTTTAAAAGGGGAACAAACTTTATTGCGCGAACTAACTCAAAGGCAATTATTAACATAGTAGAATTTTGGAATATAGGATAAAAATTTTAACTGATAAAATATTTTGTAAACGAATTCTGCATGCAAAAGGGACATTGTTCTGGACGGACTAGGCGAATCAATAAAATATTAGATGGCCGCTCACGGATCGCGTTACGGAATTCACTCGTCCAGTTGTGCCTTGGGGGTTTTCTCTCGGCCCCTACCATCAGCCGCTCGGCGGAACAGCATTACAACAAAGACAAGGGGGACTAGAGTGACCATTTCTGGCTTGTTAGCCGTCACCAGCCAGTCATACCCAGCCCGAAGTGTACAATAAATGTACTCATACATCGCATTCATCATCCCCGAAGAGGATGAAGAGTAAGCTACGGTTATTTCATGAACTAGACTGTGTTTGTCCTAGCATTTCGGAAAATATCTTATATTCAGCATGCAAAAAGGACATTTTCCTGAACGGGCTAGGCGAATAAATAGAATGAACAACGTTTAGATACTTAAAATTGGTAATTTAAATGTCTGTCGTCACGTCTCGTGATAACGGTATTTGTGACGTGGCGACGACGGCCTAATCCCCATTCCCCTGTCAATCGAATGCCTGTGCAGCGTATGACTCAGCTCTCGACTTGGCAGTACCGTAACATCGATCGATTTTTGGCCCTTCGCTCATTGGCTGCAGCCGAGCGTGGCTCAAGCGCGCCCAGACCTGCTGATGGAACAGCAATTGACTCGTGGTGCTGAACGCTTACTGATATCGACCTCTAAGCCACTTGTAGGCTCCCTATCACAGTAATCTAACTTATCGTTTTCAACCCTCACACCAGGTGTTCACCGGTGTATCCTGATTGCAGAACAGAATATGAACTCTCTCATATTAAGATCACCAATATTATCAACAACTAAAAGGTGCTCCAATGGGACCACCCATATCTGGCATTCTTGCCGAGGTGACAATGCAGAAATTGGAATCGGTAGCTCTTCCATTAGTTAACCCTAAGTTATGGGTACGATATGTAGATGACACGTTTGTCGTCTTTAAAACGGATCAAGTAGAAATACTCAACAACACAATCAATTCAACCATTCCGGGAACTAAATTCACGTTGGAAAAAGAAGTTGACAATAAACTCCCATTTCTAGATGTTCTCGTACAGCGTAAGACTGACGGAACATTACACACGTCCGTTTACCACAAAGAAACATGCGGAAATAATTCTTCACTATGAGAGCAACAGTCCGATCTCTCACAAGGGGAGTACTGTCAAAAGTCTGATACATCGAGCAAAAACACATTGCTCTGATGAAGAAAGCTACAAAGCTGAACTAACTACCTGTTTGAATTATTTTCCCAGAACGGTTACCCTAGAGATTTCGTACGTCGATGCATGAGACAACAAGAGATAAAAACAAAGGAACTAGATAGTTCCAATCAAGCGCCCAAAGCAAACACTTGACGAATCTGCCCGAACTTGTTGAAAGACACTTGAGGAAACACCAGATAAAAGTGGCGCACAAGCCGACGACTACTTCACGCACCCAGCTGGTACACCCTAAGGATAGGGTTGACTACCTTGATAGAAAAGAAGTCGTCTATAAGATCCCATGCGATGCCTGTGATGCCGTGTATTGTGGCTAAACGGGAAAATTTGCCTCTATACGCATCCACAAACATTAACTTGCAGTTAGGAGGCCAGACCACTTGTCTCAAATGACCATGCACACTCTTGATACTGGGCGCACTTTCGCATGAGACAGAACTCGCATCGTCGGAGTTTGCCCATCTAAAAAGACCGAGAGTTTCTTGGAGCCATGCCCTCCGATGAGTCATGCATCAACATGCACATCGAGTTAGCTGTCACGTACAAAAATCTCAGAGAAAAGTGAAAGAGACGAAAGCCGATCAATACGGACCGACGCATACGACGGCAGCTTACTGGCGGAAGCACCAAATGAGTATTGATTTTGTGGCCCGTTTGAAATTTTAATTGTTTTCTGAACATTTACTTTAGTCTGACGACGACACGGGGAACCGACGTCAAACATTTACTCAATAAAGTTTTCTCGCTTTCCCAAAGAACGTATTATATTTCAAGTTATACTTCTTGCGATGCCTGCGTTCCAATTCATTCGTATGAATTGAGTATTGTATAAATTCTGTATACCTCGTCTAAAATTCTAGAATTAATGTAAAAGTTATTCTTACTTGCTATTAAAGGACCCCCACGGGTCTTGAATAAAAATTATTATTATTATTACTACATTGCCTTGGAGCTGCAGTTGAGAGCCCGCGCAGGCAGCCGCATAACGAAGAACAACCAATAGTAGAGGACTCAATCAAAACCATTGTAAACTGAAACGAGTAGTGGTGAGCTTCCTTTCGGATAGTTCAGATAGTGGTAGTCCTTCCATCACCATCTCTCACCAATCAGCGAACAGTGGAAGACGGTCGGGCCTCGGATCTGGCCGCATAACAAGTACAAGGAGGCAGGGACACCGTGAGTATCCGGCCTAGAGGACGTCCTGCTCTTGGGAGCACGTTCAGAGACGGTGGAGAAGAATGTGACCTGTGCAAAACCAGGACCGAACGACTATCCAGTGGGGTTACTCCACAGTGGACGTACTTTACACGGCAGGGGTGCGCTCACCGATCGCGTTACGGAACTCGCTCGTCCCGTTGTGCCTTAGGAGTTTTTCTCGAGCCCCGCTATCATCCGCCTGGAGGCGCCTAATACAGGCAAGATAGCACTACCTTCGAGGGCAAGGGAGACTGGAATGGCCATTTCGGGCTTGTAAGCCGTCGTCAGTCAGTCATATCTAACCCCGAAGTGTGCAACACCTGGGGCTTGATCCCGCGACCTGTTGGTTTGGAATCCAACGTCCTAACCAGTGAACCACGGACTCGTCCTGTCGGCAGCGATCGAGCATTTACAATGGTGACGTAAGGCGATCGATGAGCGCCTCTTTACCATTGTTAATATACCCGACCGATAATACGATTGTACGTCGAGAACAAGTCTCCATAAACCGAGCGGAACAGTTAAGCTAGAACGGGCTTAGCTGACAACGTCGGCCAGTGGAGAACGAAGGCGATGCGCGAAGTCAGTAATACTGAAATTCACACCAACTGGAGATGTGCCGCGTAACAGTTAATGCACACCCTCGTAAACGAATATGACGAAATTCGAATTAAGTAAATGACTTCTAAATGAGATAACTATAAAAAATGCACAAAAATAAAGAAAAGTAG